GGGGTATTCACTGCTTGGACAAGGGTTCAAGCCAATAGAAACAAAGGCTGACAACTATACTGGATGTTCAGAATCCCAGTATAGCCCCGAGCCTTCCTCAGTGTGAGCTTTTAAGCACAAAAACCATGTTCCAGGTTCACATACTTCAGTTAACAAGAACGGTTAGCCAGAAGCAGAACTACAGAAGCCCAAAAGCAAGTTAGTTCGTTTTGAGATGTTTTTCCCCTAAACTATGGACTTTGATGGATTAGGTCTTTGTTTTAGTTTTGGCAGGTGGTGCTGTCCATGTGCTGAGTTTTACAGCCTGAACAGTACATCCATCATGGAGTCAGTTGTGCTAAGGTCTGGGGCCCTGTTACAAAATGGTTCAGCTTTTTAAGAGTGAGCAGGGCTCTTGTCGAGGACTATAAGGAAGTTTAGCAGCTCACAACTGAGAGGACTGAGCAGACGCCATAATAGGCTGCTGGGTCTTCTCTCAGAGATCAGGCCTTGGTCCCTGCTTTATGGAATGGAGCAGGCAGTTTCTGATGAAGAGCCACAAACAAAGGGCAATTAATCACTGGTGCCCCAGACAACAGGGACAAGGGAGATAGGACCCACCAAACCTGGGCCACTGAGCCAGCCCTACAGTCAGTATGTGCTAGACCAGCCAGTCCTACAGTCAGCATGTGCTAGGCCAGCCAGCCTTCACAGTCAGTATGTATGTGCTAGGCCAGCCAGCCCCCACAGCAGCTCAAGGACAGAGCCAGGGACTTTTCCAGCCTGCTTCAAAATGGAAAACTGTACCCTGACCAGCCTTTAACTAGCCCTGGCCAATTAGAACGTACTGATATGATTGTAACGTGCTTGAGCCAATCATATCTAAAGTGACCTAACTACATTAGGACCTCCTCTTGGCTATGCTTAAAAGGAGCTCACATGTCTCTCTCAGGGTCTTCACCATCTTGTCTTTGTGTGGGATAGATGGCTCCAGCATGCTGGAATAATAAATGCTCTTGTTGATTGCATATGTGGATGGTGGTCTTTTGTGGGATGGTGGTCTTTTGTGGGACTTTTCCAGGACCCTAACAACAACCACCTCTAGCTCCAAACTTCTGGATCCCACAGGCAACTGTGCTCACATGCACATACCTCATATGCTTGTAATTAAAAATAAAAAAAAAATCAGTTTTCAAAAAGGCTGGGTATGGTGGCACACACTTTTAATCTTAGTACTAGGGAGGCAGGGGCAGGGGATCTCTGTGACTTTGAGGCCAAGCTGCTCTATATATCGAATTCCTGCTTCTATGTAGCCAGGATTACATAGAGGGACCTTGTCTCAAAAAGGGGGTGGGGGGGTTAATAAATTTTGAATTTATTTAAAATTAAAAACTTTTCTGTATGCTTACTAAAGAAAGGACAAAGCATAGATGTTGGTTGGTCTTTGGTCTTTTGGGGGGCCCGCCACCCAGCTCCCAAATAAAGCACACACGGAGGCTTATTTTTAATTGTAAATGCCCGACCTTAGCTTGGCTTGTTTCTTGCCAGCTTTACTTAAATTATTCTGTCTAGCTTTTGCCTTTATGTTTTTACCTTTCTCTGTTTCTGTATGCCTTTCATTATTTCTTACTCCGTGGCTTGCTGTGTAGCTGGGTGGCTGGCCCCTTGGGTCCTCCTCCTTCTCTGGACCCTTCCTTCTCTCCTCCCAGATTTCTCCTTCTATTAATTCTCTCTGACAGCCCCACCTATTCTTTCTCCTGCCTTGCTATTGGCCATTCAGTTCTTTATTAGACCATTAGGTGTTTAGACAGACACAATAATACAGCTTCACAGAGTTAACCAAATGCAACATAAACAAAAGTAACACACCTTAAAATAATATTCCCCAACACATAGACTGGAAGAAGATATTTGCAGAGTGTATGGGATAAAAGGCTCGTATACAAAATAAAGAACATTTCCACACTTTTGAAGAAACATTCCGATAAACAGATGGGTAAGTTGAGCTGGAGAATTGGTTTAGCAGTTAAAAGCACACATTGAGAGCTAGAGAGATGGCTCAGTGGTTAAGAGCACTTACTGCTCTTCTAGAGGACCCAGGTTCAATTCCCAGCACCCACATGACAGCTCACAACTGTCTGTAACTCCAAGATCTGACACCCTCACACAAACATACATGCAGGCAAAACACCAATGCACATAAAATAAAAATAAATAAGTTATTTTTTAAAAAAAACACATGTTGTTCTTGCAGAGGATTGGGATTTGGTTCCCAGCATACAGATGGTTCCCAGTCATCGGTAACTCCAGTTCCAGAGTTCAACACCCTTTTCTGACCTCTGAGTGCACAGGCATGCACATGGTGCATATATATATATACAGGCAAAACACTCATATGCATAAAATTAAATAAATCTAAAAAAAATATGGGCAAGAGATTTGAACAGATAATTCACCGAAGGAAACATAAGTATATGAAAGTCTATGATCCAGAGCAGGGGATGGGGGCACATGCTTATAATCTTAGCAGTTGAGAGGCTGAGGCAGGAGGATCACTGTAAGTTCAAGGCCAGCTTGAGCTATTATGATGCATTTTGCTTTGTCTGTGTGTTGTATACATGTGTTTGTTTGGGTGTGCTTGTCCCCATGTGGATGTGTGTGGAAGTCAAGAGACTGACCTCAAGTAACTTCTCAGTTGCTCTGTGTCTTATGTTTATTTACACTGTCTTAGTTAGGATTTTATTACTGTGAAGAGACACCATGACCACGGCAACTCCTATGAGGAAACATTCAATTGGAGCTGGCTTACAGTTTAGAGGTTTAATCCATTATCATCTTGGTGGGAAGCTTGGCGGCGCGCAGGCAGACATGGTGCTGGAGAGGTAGCTGAGAGTTCTACATCTGGATTGGCAGGCAGCAGGAAGAGAATGAAACTTCAAAACCCACGCCCAGAGACACACCTCTTCCAACAAGGCCACATCTCCTAATGGTGACACTCCCTATGGGCCAAGCATTTAATCACAGGAGTCTTTGGGGGCCATTCAAAACTGCACACTTCCTTTACCTATTTGTTTTTGAGACTGGAATCTGGAGGTCACCGACTAGTCTCGGCTATAATCCCAGCTCTAGTGAAGCCGAGACAAGCAGATCTCTTGGGTTTACCGGCCAGCTATCCCATCCTCCTTTGGGAACTCCAGGTCAATGAGAGACCCAGTCTAGATAAGAAAGGAAAGGAAAAGGAGAGGAATGGACAGTGCCTGAGGTGTGATGCCCCTGAAGTCATCCTCTGACCTCTACATTGCACATGTGCACACACATGAACACACACACAAAACAACTTGGGCATAATGTTGATTACTTCAGTTGCGGGAATGATTTTAGGAACGTCCACATGGCAAACCACATAAAATTGTGCATACTTTGTGAGATTATCATGTCAAATATACTACCATGAAGTTAAAACTGAAAAAAAGAAAAAAGAAAAAATAATTTTTTTTTCCCTACTGAATCGACTAGCCAATCTGAGCACAGCAAACATGGCTCTGGCAGACCCTGCCCTTCCCCCATCCCCTCTGCCTTGCTAAAAACCAATAGATTACATTCCTAAACCGATAGATTACATTCCTAAAGCTAGCCACCAAGGTCTATTCCCTTATTTGGACACTTCCTTCTCCTGAGGCTACTACCAAGGTCCAGCTGTCAAAGTATTGATGTCCAGCATCAAAGCCCCCTTTGGCTCACCTAATTAACATGCCCAATCAAAACAAACCAGCTCATCCTAGCACTGGGTTTCCCCTTTTACCTTTATAAACTTCCATTTGCCTATTGAGAGGCAGCCCTTTGTAGTCAGTCAGTCTGTGTTGCCCTTCTCCCTCCCCCACAAATATCCCTCTGCCATCTCCTCTGCCATCTTTCTTCCTCACCGTCTGTCTCCTGTCTTTGTTTCTTATTCTCTGCCTTCTGTCCCTCCTCGTCAGAGAAACCTTCGTGGTGCTGAGAACTTGATCTTGGGGTGTCCTGATCCAGTACAGGACCTTAAAACTACCACACAAAGTGTGTGTGTGTGTGTGTGTGAAGAGAACAATTCATAAAGTTGGCTCTCTGCTTAAACCATGTAGGGCCCTAGGAGCAAAATGGGGTCAGGTTTAGCAACAAACCTCCTCACCCGTTCAGCCATTTTCAGGCCCAAAGTTGTAAAAATGTTCTCAAGCTTGATGTTACACAATGCAACCTTAATACTTCAGAATTAATTCTTGAAATGTGCTTAACAAAAGATGAATCCACAATCAAAGCACGATCTTTAAAAACACTCACAGATTAAGATAGATTGGCTGTCTCTTTTCGGTAACACCGAGTCTCAAAGGCACGGTGCTTGGGCGTGGCTCTCCGTAAATTACCAAAGACCCTCAGGATCCTGGAGAATAAACCTTTGAGCCTCTTTCTAGAGCAGTGGTTCTCAGACTTCCTAATGCTATGACCCTTTAATATAATTCCTCAGGTTATGTTGTAGTTGAGTGGCTACAGCCGTTGAGCAGGCCGGTGCAGATGCCTGAGAATGCTAACAATGATCTCCAAAAAACCAAAAAGTAAAATAAATAAAATAATTGCATTTGCTACTTCTGATCTGTAATTGTGCTACAGCTATGAACTGTAATGTAAGCATCTGATATGTCAGATATGGCACCCTTAGGTGGGCCCGAAGGGGTCTCGACCCACAAGTTGAGAAACGCTGTCCTAGAGCGTGACCTCAGTCAGGTAGGAGCACCTAAGAGTTGCGCTGCGAAACCCCGCCTCCTCCTAACCACGGGAGGGGGGGGGTCGTGCCGTTTCCTTTGTGTGAAAGGAGAAACGATTCCGTAAACATCACAATGGCCAGGGACGGCAAACGACAGGATGGGGACAGTGACCAGGAGCCGGCTGGCTAAGGAGTGAGTGGAAATAGTCAAGACAAAGCAAAAACCGAAAAAACGTAACCTAACACCTCACTTCCGCCAGGAACACACGAGTGCGCCTGCGCGCGCCTTGCCCTGGCTTTCCGCTCCGGCGCGGCGCCGGTCCCCTGCACGTTGGGTCCGGCCCCCTGGCGGTCAGCTCCGGGTCGTCCTGCGCTCGTGCATTCCCCGGTACCGTCATCCGCTCGCGGGGTCGGGGGCAGGAGCGAGGGGCTGCAGCTGCTCCCCGAGAGGCTCAAGGGGCGAGGAACCACCGGGCCCACCTCCCACCTGCCCGGTTGTCGCCGGCTGTGCCGCTCGCTGGTCACCGCGGAGGAAGTTGCGCGTGTACCCCAGGGCAGCATTGCACCTCGAGTGCCTCAGCTGTCGGGCAGTCTAAAAGCCACCCACCCCTCTAACGCCGTGCCCTTTCCTTCCCTGCCAGCTCTCCACCATGCCCGGGGGCGTGCCCTGGTCCGCCTACTTGAAAATGCTGTCCTCCAGCCTCCTGGCCATGTGCGTCGGGGCCCAGATGGTGCACTGGTACTACCAGCCTGACCTGGTGAGTGCTGCGGGGCTCGTGCCCATCCTCGCAGCTACACCCCAGCATTCTGTCTGTCCGTTTGCTCAGTCCCTCTTGACATTTAGAGCCTGGTCTACAGAGTGAGTTCCAGGACAGCTGGGGCTACAAAGAGAATCCCTGTCGGAGGGGCGGGGGGACACATAGTGAAGTGCCAAGAAACTTAATGGAGACACAAAGTGGCAAGAACTTTCCACGGAAATGCAGCTTTTTTTTTTTTTAAAGATGTATTTATTTATTATGTATACAGAAGAGGGCGCCAGATCTCATTACAGGTGGTTGTGAGCCACCATGTGGTTGCTGGGAATTGAACTCAGGACCTCTGGAAGAGCAGTCAGTGCTCTTAACCTCTGAGCCATCTCTCCAGCCCGGAAATGCGGCTTTGTGTCTGTCTTTTCCCGGCATACTTACCAGCAGCTCTATACCAAGGAAACAATGCCTAGAATTTGATCCTGTGAGGTTGACTTGATTCATCTCATTGCTATTGGAGATGTACAGGGCTTGTTACCAGCAGCTACCTGTACTTTGGGAGAAAGCAACACAAAACCAGTCTCAAAAATGGGCATACCAACGGTCCTAGGCCACCTCAGTCTGGCTGGGTGGTAGCATTGGCAGCAGGCATCTTTACTGATAGACTTACAGGCCAAGGTGGCTGCCTGCTATCAGATGCTGGACGTGTTCCTAGTATTTAAGGAATTTATGTCCTGTGCCTACCTAGTCTTTTGGAATTATTCCAGCCACCACTGTTACAGTAACTAAAAGGTTTAGGGAAAGAGCACAGAAGAGACCATGGTGGCTGCCCAGGGTTGGCACACAATGCCGACTTAGGGAGAACTGTTAAGGATGCTATTTCAGTTGTCCAGCATGCCTCATAAGGACAGCAGAAGCGACAGCTGTGTTCTTTTAGTTATTTAGACTGAAGACCCGGAGTCAACCTGTTCCTCTCACTGCATGCCTCAACAGATCCCATTGGGATCTGTTGTGAATCTGCAAGATACATCCACATCCTGCCCACTTCTCCAGCCACTGTTGTACCTACCCTGTTCAGGCCACCATCAGTTAGCTCCTTTCTCAGTTAAGACAGTGGCTTCCTGACTGTCTTCTGCCCTCCACTCTTGCTTTTCCTGGTCTCTTCTCAACAGCTTCCATCACGTCTTTTTACCCTTGACTCAGCTCACACTATAAAACTGCAGTTGCGTTGAGACCCAGTCTAGAATTCCTCAGTGTTATGTTCCAGCAATTCCCATTCTAGGTTCCTACCCAACACCAAGACATACGTCATCATACTAATTTGTTTGACCTTGTACATGTTCATAGGTGGGAACAATGCAGACATCTGATGAATACCTGTATAAAACATAGTACCATCTATATAGGGGAATATCATTCAGTGATCCTACATTAATGAACCTTGAAAACCTGCTAAGTGAAATGATCGAGTCACAAAAGACTACATGATACATGATGGGCAAATATATGTGGACAAAAGTGGGAATCATATGGGAACAAGATAGGAGTTTATTTGGGGGCAGTGAAAAGATTCCAAAATTTTATTGTGATAGACTCATAGTTTTGATTATACCATACTGTGTATGGGAATCAAACTCAGCCATCCACATGCTGCACATCCCATGCATTTCTTTCTGCCTTCCTCAAAGGCAGAATTGTACATGTTTGCTCATTGCTTTATGCATGTCACGTGATGGTCACTTCATATCTTTTGAATACAATAACCACCATTAGTTATCTTCTGGGCCTGGTGCATGGTAGAGAGCCGGCAAACAGTGCAGGAATGAATTTCCAAGTGTTGAAATTCTCATTGAAATTGTGAGTCAATTGGATTTATCCCTGTGGACTTACGAGATCTAGATGATTTAACTGTAAATATACAGACAGCAAGAAATTTAAATCAACCAGGGGTCCTCATAATGGTGATGGTGTTGAGTAGCATGCACGAGGCTTTTTGTTCTTTCTCATGCTTTTTAGATCTCATTGACCTGTTGTCTCAGATGTGGTAGCAACTGTTTTTTGGCTTGTTTTTGTTGTTGTAGACAATACCTGAAATTCCACCAAAGCCTGGAGAACTCAAAACGGAGCTTTTGGGACTGAAAGAGAGACACCACAAACCTCAAGTTTCACAGCAGTAGAAACTTCAAAATACAACTCTGCCAAGAATTCTGTGAATAATATTTTACATATATATTTTTACATATATTGGGTAAAACGACTTCTTAAAACGTCTAATCCAAAGACAAATGCTGGTTGGTAGGAGCTGATAAAGTTGACTTGTATTATGATTCGGTTAGAATTTTTTAAAGTCTCACTATGCATCCTTGGCTTACCGGGAGCTCACTGTGGAGATCAGACTGGCCTCTGTAACGGGGTCTTGCTGTGTAGGCCAGGCTCACCTCAAACTCAAGACAGCCCTGCTCCGCCTCCCAAATGGTGGAGTCACAGGTATAAACGACCACACACTTGGTCCAGTGCCTCTTAAGCGCCGCTTCAGCTTCTTGCATTTGACTGGGAAGATGTTTCTCTTCAGTATCACACGAGACTGAGTATTTGCAATGTCTCCTGCCATTATGATACTTACTTCTCTGAAAGAGCTTGATTTTAATGTTGTTATAAATTACATACAATAAGTCAGTGATAATGCTTAGAGTCTAAACATTGAGAAGTAATATTTGCACCAAACTGTATAAAATATTTCAAGTTTGAAGTTCTTTTGGAATTGTGTGCCTAATGGAATTGCAGCATTAGCAACTTAGCTTGTCAAGGTGCTTTCATCCCCCAAATTCGAGAAAGCAAATTAAAATGGGCATTTCTTCGTAAAAATGGCATAAAAACTTAAATGAATATGCTGAGTTGAAATGCGTCCCTAAAAAATGTTGACCTCAACCCTCAGTACCTGCGACTGTAGGACGGGCCACAGGGTGGGCCTGGTGCACGGGACCAGTCTTAATGCCACAAGAGGAAAGGCAGGGAGGGCATTGTGTGGAGGTGGACTGGAGTGTCGGAACCGCAAGCCAGGAACACAAGTACTTTAGGAAAGGATTCCGCAGTCACAGAACAAGGCCCTGCTCACCCTGGACTCCACTTTGGTCCCTCAGAGAACTGTGACAGCACATCTCTTGCCACCTAGTTTCCTACATCAGCTGCAGGAAGTGAACTTGTTTCAAGATTTTGCCCCTTCTGTAAATGTAGAATAAAAAGTAATTTATACAATGGGCCTGTTTTTTAAAGACTTTTATGTATGAATGCACTGACTGTATTTTTGTCTGTGTGCCGTGTGCGTGTGCATGCCTAGTTCCCTCAGAAGCCAGGAAAAGGGCATCAGATAGCCTGAACTTTGCGAGAGGTCATGTGGGTACTGAGGACTGAACCTGGGTCCTCTGGAAGAGTAGCCATACTCTTAACTGTTGACTCTCTCTCCAGCCCCTTAAGGTTAATTTACACAAGTTGTATGAATGTGTGGACACGTGTGCATTGCCATGGAGGGCAGGTGTCAGATTGCCTAGAATATGAGTTATAGACAGTTTTGAGCCATCAGGTGGGCTCTGGGAACTCAACATAGGTCTTCTGTAAGCAACAAGTTGCCTGCAGTCATTTCTCCAGTCCCAGACGACATCTTTTAAGCCCACCCTAATGAACAGACTGTGGCTCTGAAGCTGAGTTTTTTCTGTTTGATACAGGGTCTCACTATGTAACCTTGCTGGTCCTAGTAGATTAGGCTGACCTTGAATTCAAGATCTGCCCGCCTTTGCAGGCAAAGCAAAACACTCATGCACATCAATTTTTTAATTTTTGACAGGGTCTATTTCTTCCTGGCACTGGCTAAGTCTTGCTGGCTTTGAACTCAAGAGATAGATACTCCTGTCTCCCAAGTGCACCACCATGCTCAGCTAACATAAAATTACCATGGTATGCATACCTTTAATCCTAGCACTCTGGAGGCAAGTGGAGTTCTAGGCCAGCTGGAATTACATAGCTGTGAGAGCATGTTTCAAAACAGAAACCACTGGCAAGTTACTTCTAATTACCCCATGGCCCTCACTGTGTCTTACTGAGTGCCCACTTGACCCCCACCACCCAGTTAATGGCCTCCCCTAAGTTTCCAGTCAGCTTCCTCTAGCCTGTGAGGACTGCTCAGTCTAAGGTTTTTATGACCTCTAAAGAATGACATTCAGTGTCCCCCTCCTGTGTGTACTATAGAAGGTTGCCACCAAGTCTAGCCCACATTCAAAGTTTATATTCTGATCCTGGAAGGGGAGTTATTTGCATGTGTATCAACTTGTTTAGTAAGAAAGATGACCTGAAAAGCAAACCACCCGACCTGAACAAACCAGCTCTTCTTTTTCTAAAGAACCTAACAGGCAGGGAGAAGAAAAAAGTTATCCTGCTGTGTTAGGAAAACAGTCGGCGGGTATTTGGGACCTTTTTTATTTTTATACACATGACAAGATTTTACACCAAGAGTCAGTTAAATAGTACAAATTTACATTCATGAGGAATGTTAAAAAAAACCAAAACAAAACAAACTCAACTAAAAAAAACCCACTTCTTCCTGTGACCCATAATCCCAACATTTTACAGTGCAGGGGAGGTGGTGGCTTGGGGGAGCATCCAAAACAAGTCTCTCCGAAAAGAAAGGACTTTAAAATTTCACATTCCCTCTCCACACAGGATCCGTGGTGAGAAGATAATTTACAATTCATCCTTTTCTGCTGTAGATTCCTGTGAAAACAAACGTCAGAAGACACTTACAATCCAGCCACTAACCCTGCCTTATGGAAAAGCTCACATTTAAACTGTTCTGTTATTCTGTTTGTAGTTGCTTATTGGCAAAATAATTCAGAACCCACCAAGATCAATGCCTACATCTAAATAATGAAAACTTTAAAAATGAGGCAGCAGCACAGGAGTACACAGAAAGACCCGATCTCAACATCCCGCTCCATCCCGAGTGTTTGCACACAGTGAGCAGCACGGGGGTGGGGTGGGGTATCAAATCTGCTTAAAAAGATCTTGTGAATGCTGGATAAAATAAAGGAATGAAACATTTCCTCCAGCTTCTGAGCTTGGTGTCTGATGCCCACTTCTCTGGATTTACTCCTGTGTGACTAGCCTCACGCAGCCCCATCTGGGAAGAACTCAGTCGGCCCACTCTCCCTCAGACCTTTGCTGTTTCTTCCTCCTCCTCCTCCTCTTCTTCTGTGCCTGCATCCACCTCTTCCTCTTCGTCTTGCTCCGTGTCTTCTGCTGTGTCTTCTGGCTCTTCTTCCGGCTCTTCTTCTACCTAAAGGTGACATCCACGACCCTGGTAAATGCCTTCCGTCTATTTTCATTTTGCTCTCAAAATGTTTAAGATGCTAATGGGTGTTTTAATAAGAACTGTAGTAAAGCCGGGAAACTATCAGAAAGGAAGACAGGGATTTCTCCTTCATTTTATAGGTCACTCTAGGGGTTCAGACATGGAACAAGTTACTTCTAAGAGTAAAAACTAAACAAACTTCTAAAGCAGTATCACTTAATTGGGAGACAATTGTTCCTAACACTTGTGGAAGAGCCCAGGGTACAAACCTGTGCTTCAGGGTCAATGTTTAAACTGAGGCGAAGCATTCTTTCTATTCTGTCTCCGTATGCCTTGGTGTCTGGTAGAAGATACCCTGACCGGAGTGTTGCTGTTTCAAACAAAACGACAGCAAGATCCAGGACAGTCTTGTCCTCTTCATCCTCCTGATAGAAGGCACATTTGACTAATATTAGCATACAAGTTACAGAGCGTCCAGTTTAAACAGACAGGAGAGCAGCCATAGCTTCACTCACCTTAACCCGCCGAAGCATGTCTCTGATCAGCGGATGTCTGGGATTAATTTCAAATGTTTTCTTCTGACTGGCATAGTAACTGTGGAGGGACAAAATGAGCATCAGTTAAGATGCCAATTTTAGGGTCCACATGCCTAGCTTTAATTAGAGAAAAAAATTATTGCTTCCTTTAACAGGAGAGTGGCCATGGTAAGGTTAAAAAAAAAGAAATAAAAGGAACTATTTAATGATGACTCCCAAGTTCTTCTGGGTTAATTAACTGGTTTAATGTCTTGTTCATCCCCTAATACCTTAACTGAGTCATACAGTGATGGGTGCTGCTTAAGTTCATCATCTCCATGATTCCTTTTCCAGTGTGGGTCCCTAAACTCACTTTTTTACTTAACACCAATTAAAACTTTGCAGTGTGTTCTGTACATTCTCATGCTCATTAGTATTTTACTTCAACTTTTTCTATAAATCCAAGTCCAGAGGGTTTATCTCACATCTGCTTAGGGTATAACTTGATTACTCTGATGGTCACAAAGACAAGAGCCACCATAGTGTAAACGCAGCGAGTGCTGAATGGACAGTAGCTTTTCTGACACTGACAGCTATGTTTTAAACATTTTATTTTATTTTTCTTTTTTTTTAAATGTTCGCGTTCTTTTATTTTTCTTTATTTATTTTATGTATATTATATGGTGCTCTCTATCTGCATATAGATCTGCAGACCAGAAGAGGGCCTCAGATCCCATTACAGATGGCTGTGAGCCTCCATGTGGCTGCCGTGAATTGAACTCAGGACCTCTCTGGAAGAGCTGCCAGCGCCCTTCCCCGCTGAGCCACCTCCCCAGCTCCTTAAACATTTTATTATAACGTAGGATGAAAGATACAGCAGCATTTTTTACTTAGAACTCAGAGAGCCTAGCATAGTGGATCTCTGTAAATTCCAGGCCAGTTTGGTCTACAAAGTGAGTTCCAGGACAACCAGGGCTGTCACAGAGAAACCTTGTCTCAAAAACCAGACCAAAAAACACTGGTGAGTTATGATGTAATGTGGACATCCCCCTCCCCCCCCCCCCCCCCCAAACACACACACAGGGTTTCTCTGTATAGCTGTGCTGGTGCCTTGGTGGGACATCCCAGTTACTTACTTTGTGGAGATGTCCTTGCCCGTCTGGTATGCCTGTGCCTTCATAATCCTCTCCATGTTGCCAGACCATCCATACTGGCTGGCCACAAGAGCACAGGGAGACTCTGTGAGACGCTGCGATACCACGGCCTTTTCAATCTTAGGATGGGAAACATCAGACACAAGTGAGTCTCAGCAGGTAAGCAATGCAGTCACCCCTCAGATGACTGACAGAGGCATTCAGATTCAGGGTCCTTCAAGGGACACTCATTTCAACTTAAACCTGTAAAAACTTAGTACACACTCAGTAAAATCAGTATTAGAACAACAGGAAATGTCTGTAAGGTGCAAACTCACTCTACCCCGTATTAAACCCAGGGTCTAAAGCACAGCAGATAAAGGTGTCCCTGAGCTGCACCTCCAGTTTCCTGTTGAGTCTTGAGTGCCTGAGGCTACAGGTACCACTCTCTACAACTGCTCATGGTTACAAAGAAACCAGGTGTAGATCAGTTTGAGCTAATTCTTAGGTGTGGACACTAAGGTCTGCCCACCACAAAGTACCTTGTCCTTAAGGGCCTTGTCCTTCATCCAGGTGAGCAGAGGTTCAAATTCCTTCTCTGTGGCTTCCCGGTTTTCCTTAGTCTTCTCGCTCTCATCAAACTTCACTCCTTCTTTGGCAACGTTCTGGAACCTCTTCCCATCAAACTCGGGAAGGGCCTGAATGCAGTATTCATCCACGGGCTCTGTGAGGTAAATAACCTCATAGCCCTTTTTCAGCAGTCTCTCAACAAACGGAGAAGATTCAGCCTATAAAATTAAAGGAAGTGTGTTTCGTCAAGTTCTGCCTTGGTGTATCAGCTGTGTCTCCACAGCATTAACAACCCCGTGTGAAAGAAGGACCTGGGGGTAAGTGTCCTCTAGTGGCGGCCAACTACTCCGGTGACAATTAACTCCTTTCCTCTCAAGCACTGGCTACCCACAGCTAGCTGCTTTTCCTCTCACCTCTTTCCTGCTTGATCCAGCCATGAAGTAGATCTTGTCCTGTTTTTCCTTCATTCTTTCCACATACTGATCTAGACTAGTGATGTCAGTTGCGTGGTGAGAAGACTGGAACCTCAGGAGCTTCGCAAGCCGGGTGCGGTTTGAGTGGTCTTCAATCACGCCAAGCTTGATGTTGGTGCCGAACTCCTTCCAGAAAGTATCGTTGTACTTCTCATCGGCAATCTTCTTGATCATGTCCAGAGTTTTCCGGACAAGCTTCTTCCTTATCACCTAAAGAAAACGG